AAGATGGAGCCATGATGGAGCACACGAACCAAATGACCCAAGCTCGCCGAAGGAAGCAAGCAGCAACAGCTGGCAATTCTCTACCCCCGGAATTACGTGAAGAAAACAAGATGGAGCCATGATGGAGCACACGAACCCGAATGCACACACGCGTTCAAAAACAAGCGGCCAAGCATTGTTTGACACTCTTACTCTTGTGGGACACTCTTGTAAACACTTTTTTGCAGGACACTCTCGTACAAAATGCTCTTGTCGGACACTCTTGTGCGACATTTCGTAGGATACTCTGACCCAAACCTCCCATGGTGCTCTGCCGAGATGCTTTTTGGCACAAGTTCACCGAAGGAAGCAAGCAGCAACAACTGGCAAGTCTCTATCCCCGTATGTGAAACACATATATGATAAGACCTTAAACATTATTTAGTGGAAAACGTCGGGATATGATTTCGGCAGAAAAGCACCAGACTTGCTTTCTTGTTTGCACAGTTCATGGTGTTTTCCTCTCCTTCAAGAACTTGCTTCACCATATAATATTTTCCCTGCGCCACTGCACGTCTTGGACGCAGCCTGACCATCTTTGTTAGAGGTCTTTCTTTGAGATCTCTGACCTTTGGGCATCTGGGTTCTCTTGGATCCGGACAGAAAGGCAAGGAAAGAGCAGCCTCTTCAGTAGCTTGTTCAATGCCTCCCACTCCTCGAAACATCTTCACCTCCAACCCGGTACCAAGGACCTCTGGGACCAAACGACCCTGCCAACCAAGGCCGAGCCCATTCATTCGCCTATGCAAGATCAGGCCACCCAAGGTGACCCGCGAGGCAAGCTCAACCTCAAGGATTGGCCGAACAAGCCGGGCAACGTCTCTTTTTGTTTGACCCATGTTCACCCGACCAGCCCACGAGCCCGAATGACCAAGACCATATGCCATATGCCATGACCCACAAACATATCCATGTCATTCCACGCACATGCACACGCACACGCACACATTTTCCAAAGATCTGAGTGAGGCATCATCTGGGGCACGTCACTATCGCTCCCCTTGAGATGACTTCACCCATCTCGCATCTCCCAAACACCTATGGGCTCTTTCCCTGAAAAAAGTGCCAAATCCGCAAATCATGTGAAGACCACATGCACGCGTCTCTCCGGAACGTCGTCGCTATTTATGAAAGAAAAACACGTCTGCGGTCGTCTTTCTCGCTGTTCCAGTTCCAACATGGACAAACCAACCAGTAACCAGCTGCAGTCTGCAAACGGTCCTTCAGTCTGCATCAGTTTTCGAATACCACAGACCTGCCACCAATCGGGTCGACCGCCCCCAGGAAAGAAACTCAGAGAAGGACTCAATCGGGTCGTCTCTACATGGTGGTCATCTACTTTCATCCCTTTGCTACTAGTAGCGATTGAACAACCTTGCGACCATGTCTATTTTGCTCTAAGCTTTCTTGGAGCTAACTGAGTGCTGGGGTTTTCCATTGCTTCATTACAGTGGTCACCTGAGTGTAGGCCAATGTCTTTGTATCTATCCCTAAAGCCACCAACATGGCCAGAGCCTTCGTTCAGAATCCTCATCGGACCATCTGTTGGTCCGAGACGGACCGGACTCCTTCCGACCAATGACATCCAAATACATCCAAATACCCTCAAACTTTGGGCCAAACTGTACACTCTTTGAACTAATCCTGGTTACGTGGATGGTCATCCGAACTACGACCTCTTTGGTCTTTTTTTCCACGGCTGGTCCTCCGAGTCCTCGGACGGTTTGAGCTAGCCATGCCACACAGCACTGCCAACCATATGACTAGTTCAGGGGATCATATGTACTATACCTATCCTTATCCACATACCATCCACGCAACCAGGTGTACTTTTTCTCAAAATATCCTCTTCCAAAACTGCCTCCACTCTAGGATGAGGGACGGATGGCACGCTGCCGATGGACTGGCCATAGCACACGATCTGCCCAAAACGCGGACAAAACGATTTTGGAACAAGTCTTGGGGGGGGCAAGAAAGGCGTTGCTTTCCGGAATCTGGAACTCAAAAAACCATACACTCCATATGATTGGCATATCCCTACATTTGGATGGCTTCAGAAGCCAACATGCAGGTCCATGGGTCGTATAATTATGCAGTCCTATGGACTGTCTGAGAGGTTTTCAGGAAGCCGAGACGGGATACGGAAGGACATGTAGGACAATGAAACAGACCTCAAGTAGATATGTAGGATGACATGAAATGTAGGAGCATCAATGTCTTGACCTAGCTGTTTCTTGTCCTCAATGTAGGAGCATGACTTGAGGTTTCTGTTTCAACCCTAAACCCTGTAGACATCCTGTCGGTCGGAAACGGACGAAAACCATCGAACACATTCGAACACAAAGTGGTTTGGGGATGGTTTGGGGGGTGTTTTGAGACAGAGTCTTGTCTTGCTGAAAGTGGTTCTAACGAATGGCCTATCTTCCGCGCCGCGAAGATAGGAGGCTACAACTGGACAGGTCACCTACCTTCAGTTTCCATGTTCTTCCCAACCTGGCAAACCTAGCACCTTCAAGAAGTTAAATCTGATGCAATGTTTGGTGGTCGAATAATTCTAGATCTGATGGATCGGGTCTGCGGTAGGACTATATAGGATTCATGCTTTTCACAGGCGGGTTTCTTGGTAGGATCTGTGATGGAAACCTGGTCAAAGCCTTGAGAAACCACCAGGTCAAGCTTGACCCTTCCCAGGCAGGCCTGCTCGTCTGCAAGGCTGCAATCGTTAGAGAGGTAGTGGTACCTCGAACCGCATGGAACTCTCTGTGAAGAGGCACCAGTTTCTGTTTTTCTTTGGCTTTTGATTGTTACACGCTTGTTGAACAGTCAGGGCTCAAGTCAATTCACCCATCAAATGCCACTGAAGAGTGGAGGCAAAGGATGCTTTCAATGGAGGAAGGTACCAACATCCTTTATTCGATGATGTCAAGGGGTTTATCAAGGAATGTACCGGTTCCTCATTTGGCTCAAAAGTCTTGAAACATGGCCATTGTTTTGTTTTAAATTTTCTGTTGAATTTGTTCCGTATTTTTTAATATATATCTTTCACAATACAACCTATTTTGCTAGGCATATCACTGCTGCACGGCATTACCTGAAGTGAGGATTTACATGGATCTACAAGTTCCCAACCTAATCACCTGTTCATACCCGTTCAGTTTTGATCTCCGAACGTTTTGCGACAAAACTTTCAGGATCCGAACGCTGCTTCGATGTCGGCATAGAGATCCAACTGACGAGGCCGGGAAAGGAGCCGCTCCGTGGTTGCATGGTCTGGTCCTCGTCATTACAAAAAAAACTCAAAACATACCAGCTAGCCAGCTAACCTTTGTTTCATTGGCAATTCGTCAAAACTTTCAGCACGCTCCAAAAAAACACACGGATTGACACACAATATTCCCTCAATCCGATCTCCGAGGCAAAGAATTCGTCGCCCGACCTTCATACGGATTCATACGGATTCATACTTACATACTTTCAACAAACCATTGCGTTTAATGCGATCTCAATGGTGGCAACTTCAACACCCGCCCTCGCCTCGGTGGGTTGCCCAGTGCTTTCTCCATAGCCGCTATACTCGTAAGCCTCGGCCGTAGCGCGACGGCCAAGGCTTCGCCATGTAAGGGAACAGTTTTTGCCGTTGTGGGCAAGGCCTAGGGGGTCCAGGTCCTTCATGCCGCTCCCACCATACAACCAGCATGGGATTTGCATCAAGAAAGCAAATAGAAAGATTGATGTGTCACGTGGCTTGTGCAGTGGCCTAAGACATAACACTCAAACATCCGCTCAAAAACCCACTCGGAAGGCATCTGACAAAAGGTCACACGGATTCTGGCGTTAGCAAGCTGCTTCCTAACAAAGCCAAACATGACTGACCTCCTGGGCTGCCCGGCAAATACATCACACTGCAGGCGAGAACACATCTCCCTGGCGCAGTGCGTCCCTCTGATTGTGCGCGCTGATGGCGTTCGCTGGGTCAGCGCCGGGTGCGGATACGCGGTTGCCCCTCACACAGCTAATGATCGCGCTGCACATGTTCGCAAACGGGAGCACTTGCAAGCCGCGACTCCTCTTGGGGCTGCAGGGATTCCGTGCACTGATTCTCTGAGCCGGTTACGTATTCCAAAGCTCTACTGTGCTGAACGCATCGACAACAGTGTTAATCTTTGTGCTCCAAGACGCTTCAAGATCCATATTATAGGTCGACAAGCATCCCCAAATGAAGCTGACACCACTGGGTGTGACTTCGCAACAAACCTCGAACCCCCCTGACTGCACTTCGATCAACTCACAGCTAGGTCCAGTGGCGGCCTATGATTCGATGCTGAAAACACAGTCTTCAGAAGCCACTTTGTACCACCTAGCTCTCGTCTGATGACACTTCGATGGCTATCAAAATTCCTGGTCAATCATCCTAGAAAAAGTGACAAACCCTGTGACAAACCCCTGGCAATTCCTGGTTCATGACAACCCCCCCCAACTATTCGATCAATCATGAGCTCATGAAAGGATTAAACCATACCCAGCAGCTATGGTCACTGGAAAGCCTTGAAAGGCATCCTACGAATCTAGAACACCAGCATGATCTCTCAAAATTCTTTGGATTTAATGGGGGCCATGTTCCCATTTCATGTGACTTGGAGAACACCAGTTGGATTGTGCAAGTCCTTTCGGTGGAAGTCAAAAGGGGAAAAAAACAACGAATCTCACCGCCGTACTGATCCCTCACGGGCGACTGCGGTGAACGGGGCCTGAGATGATAGAACATGATGCCAATGTCGGTACTATTGCCGTGGCTGAACAAAATCGTCCTGCAGGGCGAGGGACCTGGAGAAACACCTGGGTTTCAGCGGCCTGCCAGAAAAGACACTCCGTGGCAGTGAAGGGTGGAAAGAGCAGCTTTTCCATGGCGTCGCTTCTGCTCAAAATCAGCCTGGGCAATCCAGCTCGACTGGGGATCGAACCACATTGTGCCATATAATTCTTGACCCTTCCCACATCGAACCCACTGATGCTTTCGGTTCTCGTCAACGCGTGAACGCGTCAACCCGGTTGGATCAACGGCCTCCGAATGAAAAAAGGATCGTTGAAGTCGTTGAACTCATGGTTCGAACGATGTATCGTGAGATGAGGTGAGATGACGTTGTCTCAGTCCGGACTTAGTCAGTATAGTCACTGCAAAAGACTTGATCTGTTTTTTTCCTTTTATGTGTCAGTATATCAGTACATCTTTGATTTTGCGGGCTGTCCATCATTGGAGCAGCAGGTTGCCTCCGTTTCTGCCCACGTTTGCTGGGTCCTACTGGAGTCTGCGCGCTTGAAGTGAAAGCCGAGGATCACGTTCCCTGCGTGAAAGCGATCACTCATCATGTGGGGCCCAGGCAGAATAGATCGATCTCGGACATCGGATCACCGAGGTGTTTGGGGAAGAAAACATCGCTCCTTGGAGGGGCCCAGGGACAGGCTCCTTTGATGCACTTGAACAAGAGTTTTGTGAAGACATCCTCAGAAATCACGGTTAAGCCGGTTAAGCTGTTGCCAAGTTCTTGACATGTTGTAAGGACACCAATCCCAAGCAACATGGTCAGCGGGGTCAACTAGACTGCTGGGACCCTAAGGCTCAAGCATTCTGAGGACTTCGAACAAACATGGTAGGTCTTGACAGGTCTTGAGCCCAGAATGGATGGCCGGTCCTTCTTGGTGTCCTCTTTGCAGCCCAGGGTACTCATGCTGTGCCAGGTGTGTGTCGACCATGGGTTACCCCTCGACAAAATGTACTTGGGTTCTGGGCATCCCGTTCATCAGAAGCTATAACAAATGATGGTTGGAGACCTTTCAGAGACCAACACCCCCAAATAGTTGAAGTTCGGTGATAGTTCAGTTCTGTGATAGTTTTTTTACAAACCAAAACAGTGGAAACAGGCCGGTCTCGCAAAGAGGGATAGAGAAGATCCAACTCTTGTCGCCAGTCTCCGTGTGGTTCACCACATAGGGGGGGTGGTGTTGGACGAGGGTCTTGGCACCCATCGCCAGATCCGAATAATGGGAAGAGCACATCCTCAAGCCCAAACTCTCCAAAACCCAAGTGGTTGGAGATGGTTGGAGGATTCTCCCTCTTCCTTCACCTCAAAAAAACCGCTCTGCCATGCCCTGCCGGCTCCTCCCATCCCCAAAAACGCCGCTGTTTGTCGAAAAAACACGCCTCTCCGTGTCCACATTCGCACAGTGTCCACAACGATGCCCTGGGATCACCCCGCTGAGACGAGCGAGCGGGCCGCGACGCCGCTCGGCTGGGCACATTCTCAGGGAGTAAAACGCTCATTGGTTGGGCTGAGATGACTTGTATCTGGAACGAGAAGAACGCATTACCACATCCTATCATTATCTCCATTTATATGAAAAACAACACATTTCGAGAAAGTGTCGAAATAACACCTGAGCACCCACAATCCTCTCAATCTGAGTTACTTCGGGTCGCATTACTTGGGGTCGGTGGCGGATTTGGCCAAATCTGAGTTGGCCACCCGCCCAGATCGTCGTCATAGGGAATCTGCAAGAACTGCGTGGGAATCGTCGCAATATTTGCATGAGGAGATTAGCCAGTCAGGCCTCAAGGCTGAGAAGGTGCCCTTTTTTCATGTGTACCCTTGTTGGCTTGTCACGCTTCAAGGATTCCCCCCCAAAAAGCTTTTGTCAAAAGAACTCAAAAAATATTTCCGTAATCCTCCGCTTGGGAAGGATCAAGTGTGACCATAAACCTGAAGTTTCTCGTGATCTGATCATTGATCTGCCTACTAGATGGACTTGATCTGCCTAGATGGCTTCGCACCCAAAAGAGGTGAGATTTAGTGGTGAAGGGTGACCCAAGATGACCTGTTAGGAGGGCAATAGGTCAAAGACTTTCAAAGCCAATTTGTGCAGATATGATGTACTGTAGACTGTAGAAGGGTGTGCCTTCAAAACACTCCAAACGACACAAAATACTACGAGTACGTTCCTCGACATCCCAGTGGATAAACATATTCCGTCCCAAGATTCCCAGAAAACCAACCCTAAACGAATGTCCGCCAAATGATATTCAAATGATATTCAACAGTTGAGGACAAGGACTCCAAGGACTGATTTCCTGAAGATTCCTCGGCTCGTGTTCCCAATTGCTTCAGCAAAAGTATTGATACAAGCAAATTCCTGTCCTGTGCCGTTCGCAAAACCCATCACAATCCAATGTTTTGCAAATCCTCTTCAGAGACGGCTGTCCTCCTAGTTCAACACTGCAACAACTGCCAACTATCTCCAGATATGCAGCACTGTAGAACTGTCATCGACTTTATATCTGTGATCAAGGTCCAACGTTCCAATGTCCAAAGCAACGGTCCACCGTTCCGAGGACCCGTGACCCAACGGTCTCCAACCGACCTCCGACTCCGGTCGCTCGGTCGAGACCGGTCGGTCCGAGACCGCCGGTTTGCTTCGCCTCTTGGGCCAGATCCGGCAAGGGGGAGAGGCCATAATCACTCTCCACCAGGAAGACCTGCCGATCGAAAAGGATTTTCAGACGGTCATATCGGAGAGACACCGGCAGTGGGGTGTTTTCTTCTGAAATTGCTGTGTTTTTGTGAAGAATTTTTCCCACCAAAGAGTCAAAAAACGCAAACAATATCTCCGCCAAGAGAAGGATCTTTCATCCATGGCATTTTCGTCTTGAAGAACTAGATGCGCCTCACAGTATTACCTCTTGTATGCTCTGTGTTGGAACGACCGGTGGTACATCTGATGGGGGCACGTTTGGTCTTTTAGGGGTCTACTTCTACATGGTCTCCCGGGTCGTCGTACCCCGCAACTGTAACAAGCGGAAGGATGAAGAACCGGTGCGAACGTGGATCGATCGTGTAGGAAAAAGAAGCTACGAACGGGGCTCCTGGCCTTACTAGGAGCAAGGATGCTACTAGGCGCTCCTGGCATCACTACAAGAAGTGTGTGTGTGTTCTTTAAATTCTGGGTGCTAGAATGGTCTCAGAGGTGCTGAATTTGAGTCGAGGAAGAGTTGAGATTTGGAAGAAACCTAGGTTTTCGATATTTTTCGATATGGGTGTTTCGTGGTTTTCTATCGTTTTGGATTTCAAGTGCTTAACCTGTGCTTCTTTGTTGTCATTGAACACATTGACCAAGAAAGCCGAACACAGATCATTTCGGTGTCAGTCGCAAGCCAGCTGACCAATCTTTACACGCTACGTACAAGAACCTTCCTTTTGGTTTGCAGTGGGCCCTCAGTGCTTTCAAGCCCATCTACACAAGAACTATCATGTCTTTATGAATAGTAACATACTATATATATATATACCAATACCAACATTTAAACAAATACGCATTTTAAATGCATATATATATATATTTATACACACACGCAAATTACAGCGAACGTGGTCTCAAAGAGACCCCGAACTACCGGTCTTTCAACGGCTGTTCCTATAGTACTAGCTTGGGCTTCCAAAATCTCCGACACCCACCAGTAGTGGGCTCAAACTATACAGAAAGAACCCGAGGACGTGGTTGATATATGTTGATAACGCCATATATTCTAACCATGGCTAGTGGAGTGCCTCCACAAGTATCCTCCCAGACAAGACCTTTGGGCCGATTTGGGTATGGTATGGCCTGGCCACCGCTATGAGTTGGGCCCCTGCCTGTCTATCCTCAGTCACATGGTAGCCCGGCGGCCGCGGTGGAAAAAAGGCCACCTCAGGGTGTGGAGCAGCTGGTGAAAGGGCGGATTTTGCCACACATTGATTGTGCAAGTATAGAACAGCTAACACAAGCATACACAAGCTAACTATAAATTCATTGATACTCAAAATGCTAGCTACAACCAGCTCATATATAGTAATATATATACCCTAAGCTTCCAGGGACGAAGTTTAACTTATCCCATGATGAAAGCCGAAGTTTAACTTGTTCCCTCAGAAAGCCGATGTTTTACTTTCTTATGTTTTGTGATGGTTTTCTTTAGGCCATGAAGAAGCGAACTTGAGAGCTGACCATTGACCATACTCGGACTTTTCCGCAATCCACGATCTCATGTTAAGACCGTTTGTGGCCACGCTTCCGGTCGATTTCCTTGATCAACCACGTGAGGGTTCGGAACCGCAAACGGGCTCTGTTCATAATGCCATCAGCCCTACCGCCAGACTTAAATTTTTTCTTTTGGGAAGACGCTGCTTTGCACCAGCCTGCCCACATGTGTGCTTTTCCAAATCAGTGAGAAACACCGTGCGCTATTTGTTCATATGTTTTTCCACGTCCGGCCTTTAATCACTCCCATGTGATCTTCGTCGCAATACGTGTGATAAAATCTGCTGTTTAAACCTGAGTTTGCCAGTAGACTCCATGACCATGAGGGTACTCAACCATTCAAGCTTTTACATTACTAATTCAGCCACGGAGCGTTTGTGTAAGATGTCATCTATCAAAAGGTGGCTGAAGGCCTTCGAGATGTGGGATGAAACAAAGACCCGTGGATGTGTTCAAAAACCACGTACATTGCGTGCCATCAAGTCACATGCCACTTTGGGACCAGGACCCACGCAAGTTCACCTCTCCTTTTGCAAACTAGTTCTCACAGTGCAGATTGAAACAATAGCACAAATTTTTAACACTCATCTCAGCACAAAAGAGTCCTGACGCTGGCTTGATGCAATCGTTGAAAAGTCTCCAAGTAGGATCTCCCTGCCCTCTCAATTTCAAGAGATTCTTCTCTAGACCTAACACGGACAGTAGGATCACTTGAGGCTGGATTGAAAAATAGAAATTGAACAATATCTTTATGAAAAGGGACTTAAGTACAGCATTTCCAGACTCAATAGAAAGTAACTCGAATGACATATCGATGCTATGGCTTGACACCGGCAAGCGACAAGAAGCGCGATGCCCTCTCAGTCAGGCCAAAGAAGCGGTTGATCGCTTTCCTGGGCCGAAGTGGGTGTCGGGCTCTGGTCTTGCCAGTGAAATCACTATTTTTCTTTGGGGTGGGTGGCACCTAATTATTAGATTTACTAGATATAACGAATATCCCAGCACCAAGTTCCAACCAACAGATCGATTTGCTATTAGATTCCAAATGTCAGCGCTGCTAGAGACAAATGTGAACGATCATCTGCCACCATACCGGGGGGGTGGAAGATGTTGCGATCGTTCCAAGGCATTCTCCAACCAAGATGACAGAAGTCTGGCGTTATACCCCTTTGTGTTGAAGTAGGCACCATATTCGTCTTTGAAGATTGTGAAATAGGAAAATCTCTTCTGGCTCGAGTAGACCTTGTGGGTCCGTCTCCACAAAGTAAAGTCCTCAAATGCTGTATTCAAAGCATCTCGGTATCCAGCGGGATCGTCTCCACGGCGCACCGGTCCAAAAAAATGCATGTGAAGGAGCATAGCCCTAAGCGACAAACAAAGCGAATCAAATATTCTACGTCAGATCTATCGTGTTCAGACAGCTCAAGCTTTCCATGCCACGGCACATCACTGATCCATTTGAGATATGGAGCAATGACAAATTCAATATGTGTAGGGTGCAGTGCCGGATATTGTCCAAAGAGAAAAAATGTAAGTTCACAAGCGGACTTTAGTTGAGTGTTGACAACAAAGCTGTTTTTTCTAAATTTATCTACATTTGCACAAGCTGTTGTGGTAGTACAATTGCATTACACATCACTACACCATCCGTTTTTGCTATCCACCAGATCCCAATACTATGTTCAACATAGTTTCCATTCAGGAAAGCTACAAATAGGATGTGTTTGGAGCTCCCTTGCCACAAAATCATCTGTGTTCAGCTTTGACGGAAGCCATCCATCATAGTTGAGATATGAAATTGGACCCTTGCAGGAAGCATCGCACCGATAGCATACTTCATTTCTCTTCCACCAAGAATGGTGTTGGAACATGTACCGAATCCAAACTTGGTCGCCTCGAATTTCAGTGACTAAAAACCTTCTGGAGGCCACTGCATGCTCTGCGCAACGGTTCAGGGACTCCACGATGGCATTCAACATTGGATAAATGGTATCCTGCAAAGACCAAACCTTTTGCTGTTCTACAGCAAAAAGAAGAAAACGGCTTAGCCGTGTGGCTCTAGGCCTGAACAGGACTAGGTTGAGTGAAAATCCAATGATCTTCTCGTGTGGGCCATTGATCAAACCCATGGCAGCTTCGTCTCCATGCAGCCCTATCGGGATCACAGGTTTGCCAGCCAACCTTCGAAAGTTGGCACTTGTCACTGCCATCTCATCATTCACTTGCTCTAAATGATTCCAATACCTGTTGACCACTTCATCAGGTATGACAAGCCCGCATGATGTGAACAAAAAAATCCAGCAACTTATGCGGAAGCTGCACAGGGAGAGTCGCCGGACAACAAGAACCATCTGCTTCCTTCAGGAAGACAGAAACCCTGTCAGGTTCCTGGAATGACAAAGTCGTGCAAGACTTAACTGCATCTATTGTAGCTGTCAGAAAACTGTCACAAATAATATCAAATAGCCACAACAAAAATAAATATGTTGCTAGTTTAGTCACCCCAGGGTCTAATGGAAGGTGCGTCGATTTGAAGAAGTCACGGGAAGAATTCTTTCCCGTGCAATAGGATGCTAGCTTTGCCGTCCAAGATCGAGTGCGTCCCCGAGCTTCCTCAAAATGGTACATCCAATACATACTGTAAGTCAACAAAGCTCAATTAACTGCTAGGTCCAGGTCCACCTTCTCATAGTCAATCGTTTTTTTTCAGTCAAGAATCTGCATAGGTAGCCCTTGCTGATCCCATAGCTCCCTGCGCTGATGTTGCCTGAGCAATTTCACAAAACAGAAAGTGTCCGGTAAGACTTGTTGTTTAGATAAATCAGATGTTCTAGATTTACAAGTGAATGGTTTGTGAAGACAATGTCTGCAAAACTTGAGCATTGTTCAAATTAAGTGAAATGTTTCAGTTAAGGATCGCTTGCAGCCAATTTTTCAATAAGATCTCGCTCCAAAGGACCTGCGTATCCATCACAATCATCACCTGCGTGGAATATGAAACAATTTTATGTGTAGAATGTGCAGCTTGTGCATGCAAACCACATTTTGGGTTTTCCTTATTCTTCAAGGCTTCAGCATGCTTCTCAAGCGGCCTCGCCGGTCTCGCGCCAAGATTAAATAAGGCCCACCAAAGAGAAACAAAACTAAACACGCATCATCAATTTGAAAATCAACATCTCTCGATCTCAAGAGTTTCTGTCAATGACATTTGGTTAAGTTTGTCATTTGCCTGATGGGCCCTACATATGGCGCAGAAAGCACTTGGTGGACAAGCTTGACTATGTGCTAGTCGGCATGATGCCATGCCCCACACAACACAAAATGTGTGCTGTATCCCTGCATGGGCGCACGTCGGCTTAAACACAAATTGTCATTCGAAAATCCGGTCACCGCAAAGCGAAGGATCGAGCACAGTTCCAACAGAAGAAACATCTAATTTATTCACGCTACCGTATACAATTACTATATAAACTTGACAAACATATGTGTCTCCAACTTGTGAACACAAGCTAGCTCGTAATTACTCTAAACGGTCTTTAGTGACTTAGTATCATCCTTCTTTTGTCTTCTTTGACTTCTTTGCGGATTTCACCGGTTCGCATGCCTTATCCAAATCCTTCCGGACGGCCTCACTTTTTTCGATCATCTGAAGATTGACCTGCCAATCCAGGAAAGTTAAGTACAAAGTTGACAATCTTAAAGCGGTTTGTTTAAATCAATCAATTATATTGAAATCTAACTTTACTGACTCGTACTACAAAAAACAGCTTTGCCGTGCCTGTGATTGGTCAAGAGCTTTCTGAAGTTCAGCTCTCGACTCCTTCAAAACAAGTTTGTTGTACGAATTCATTCCATAAGTTCAATGGGCACGCTGTACACTATCAACGTTGTTGTCCACCAATTTGGAAAAAACAAATCAACAACAGATTCAATTATAATTTGTTTTGATTTGTCGATCTATGTTTGTTTTGTTTATTCGAATGCTTTAAACATATGTCCCTTTCCTCCAAAGCATTGAGCTTTCCTTCCATGTCAGCGCTGATCGATTCGGCATACTTGTCGCCCCTGAGTAAAAGGTCAGTCAACCCTGCTAAGAAAACTCACACCATAAGATTGAGGACCTGGCAGGTTTGTAAGGTTTGGCTTCAACCCCATAGCCCATTTGATCTTGGCGCTGGCATCGTTCACAGCCTGATAAAACACAAACAATTATATCAGTTTTATTTAACATAAATATCCTCGCCTTTTTTGCCTTTTTCACTAAGTTTTTTGCATCCTCTTCTGCATCCTTGTTCTCTTCCTTCTCCTTTGGATTTTTCTTTTGTTTTTTCTGCTTCTTTTTGGTCTTCTTGCCCTGATCGTACATTAAAAACAACCGAAAACAACATATGATATTCTGAAAAAATAAAACACATGTGTCAGACCTTGGAATTGTTCTTGGCTTTGCTTTTCTTGCTTTTCTTCTTCTTACTCTTGCTTTCTTCTTCTTCTGATGATGAGGTTGTTCCATCATCGGTGTCCAAACAAGCATATAGGCGATCGATTTCCTCGGTATGTTCGGATTCCTCACTGTCTTCCACCAATGTGAGAAACTGCATCAGCTCCTGGATCAACAATTGAGTACTCAGGAATCACAAAAAGACACAATTCGAAAGACATTTATTCATTG